GAATACTAGTTCTACTGGCTGAGCTGGAAAGCAGAGCTGTTCTTGCTGAGTTGATAATTGTATGCATCAGAACATTTTGGGAACACCTAGTCTAGATCAAAGAATCGGGATTTTGCATTGGTGGGAGACACTTTTTTTAAAAGGTACTATTCGTATTTTTGATTTGCATATGAGCAATTTAATCAAGGCAGAAGTATCTTTCAACTGATTACTCTCTGGGTGTGTGTGGAGGGGGAACATGAAGATTTTATGTAGCTGCTTCCTTGTAATATTGACACAAAGCTCAGAAAATAGCCTTCAGTTTCCTGGTGTGCTTTGGTCCATTAAGCACTTTCTGACTTCCAGATGGCTCCGTATGTAAAAACTGGAAGGCCTCTTATGTAGGCCAGATCTAGGTATACACAGACTCTATTCTAGTTCCTAGTGTTCTATGCTATAATTGCATTCATGGCAACTTTCTTGCCTGTGCTGGTAATATGCAGCACTGTGCTCCAAATCCAATTCAAAGAATTCCTTTCTGAAACTCCTGTGCCAGATGAACTGGTCTGCCTCAGGCTGGGCAGGTCCCTCCCTAATACTGAGACGTGCCAGGATCTGTGCCATTCCTCTTGCCAACTCTCCTCTCAAGCTGAAACTAGATATTTACATGGAATAAGTTTAGGATAAACCTGTTTTTCATCCAACAATGGGATTTACTCAGAGATGTGCTGCAGCAACCACACTTACAGCCAACTTTCCTTTACAATGACCAATCACATAACAAAGTATGCTAAAGACAAGATGCATAAATGAGGAAATGCAAGCCGCTTTGGGTCCCAGTCCTGGAAGGAAAGTGGGAGGAAAATGCCATTTGGAGGACATTTGTGAGACATTTAGCCTTCTCTGTCAGAGAGCTCTGGTGCCACAATAAACTACAATTCCCAGGATTCCCTAGCACTGAGCCAGGACTTAGTTGTTGTAAGTCTAGCATCTTCTAAACAGATGCTAAAGGCATAATCTAGTTGGGCATTAGATAAGAATTCTCTTCAGCTTTGCTTCTGCTTTCTGTCTTGGATAGAGATAATGAAAATTACTATGATTTGTTTCAATTTTTTTAAATCATCAGTGTCAATCCTATTTTAAGGGGTGTGGGTTGTGGGCGGGGGGTGTAGGAATTTGGAATGTTTTAATTGCTGTATTTTAACTTGTTGTAAGCCGCCCCGATTGCTCTGCAGAGGAGCAGGTTATAAATAAATTATTTATTATTATTATTATTATTATTATTATTATTATTATTATTATCTCAGCCCACTACTATCACTCTCACCTAAGGTAAGAGACAAGACATTATCAATAGATGTTTCTCTCTCACTTACACACACCTCTATTTAATACCACTATCTTGTTCTGACATTTGGGCCCATCTGTACTTAACACCAGAGCCCACCAAACATGTGCACTACTTTTTCTGATCCCCATGCCCAGTTGGTTCACAGGAAATCATTCTGTCCTCTTGCTTAGCACTGTAACTAGACCCAACACCAGTAGTGTTCGCCAGTGCATTCTCAGCAGATTTTTGTACTTAGGAGACCTGGTGCCATGAGAACTCTAGGACAGATGACTTTACCTTCAATCCATAATTAAAGAAAACAATTGGAACGTTGCCCCAAAAACATAGGTCCAAAACACACTGCAGAAATAATCCAGTTTGAGGCTGCTTTAATTGCCCTGGCTCAGTGCTAGTGAATCCTGGGAGAGAGAAGGCTAAATGTCTCACAAATGTTGTTGACCTTAGTAACAGGTGGATTCACACCAGGATCAAAATTATCAATAGACAAGACTTAGGTCCTTTGCAGACAGCCAGAAATAGTGCGACTTGAGTCCACTTTAACTGACCTGGCCCGGTGCTAGGGAATCTGTAGTTTTTTCTGAGACATTGAGCCTTCTCTGTCAGAGAACTCTGGTGCCACAATAAACTACAGTTCCCATGATTCCCTAGCACTGAGTCAGGGCAGTTAAAGTGGACTCAATTTGCACTATTTCTGGCAATTTGCAAAGGCCCTTAGTTAGCACTAGAACTCTCAGAATCTTCTAGGTAGCCTAGTCAGTGACCATTCTGACTGGGAGATTCTGGGAGTTGTAGTCCAAACTCCCAGCACTGGTTCTGGAGAAGAGTGCTGAGGATACCTTGGACAGTCAGAAAAACAAACAAATGGGTCCTTGAACAGATCAAGGCTGAGCTCTCTGGAAGCCAAGATGATCAAATTGAGGCTGGTGTACCTTGGTCATATCATCAGAAGGCACAACTCATTAGAAAAGACAATAATGCTAGGAAAGGCAGAAGGCAGTAGGAGAGGAGGACCACATGCCAGATGGGTAGATTCAATTAGGGAAATCACAGGCCTGCATCTACAAGAACTGAGCAGAGCAGTGGAGGACAAGGGGCTTGGAGATGTAGCCATGAGTTGAGGTCAGCTTACAACAACTGTCTAAAAAAGTAACTTTTCCAAATTCTTCAACAGACAGATTTAATCAAGCAAGTTGGCCCTGACTGCCAGCTGACAGAAATAAAGAAAGCATCTTGGATTAGATCAAAGGGCTGGTCCAGCATTCTGTTCATAGTGGTCAATGGAAAGTGGTTTATGGAAAGTTCCTCGGCAGAACATCCTCTTTGTCTTGCTCCCAAGGAACTGATACAAGAGAACATATGATTTATTTGCCACAGAATCAAAAAAGTCATGTAGGGTTGATGTTAGAGGTATTCTGCTCGAAGCCCTTCAAGATCCTGTGGATTCTCTAATGCAGTGGTCCCCAACCTTTGGTCCTCCATTCATTTTGGACTTCAGCTCCCAAAACCCCTAGTCAACTTGGCCAAAAGTCAGGAATTATGGCAGCTGAAGTCCAAAACAACTGAAGGACCAAAGGTTGGGAACCACTGCTGTACCATGATTCACATTCCATTTCCCAGTGGGTCTGGCTTTGGTTTTTGCACAATGGACTAGCTCCTGAATTCTCAAGGACAATTGTTTTGCAAGCTAATGTTCTGCCTACATCTAATCTATTGCCTGCCTTTATTTTCTTTAGCTGATGGAGATAATGAATCAGTGAAGGAGGAATCAGAGTCCGACATGTCAGAAAGTGAGGTCTGTTTTTCTGAATTTTCTGAATTATTCCTTCCAGTGCCAAAAGAAGGGGGAAATCAATTTAGATCATCAGGAGTCCAGAAGTGGCCCTATGTTGCACATGTTTTTATATTGCTTGGCAACATCATTGTTTGCCTGTTGGTTTTGATGTCCAGTATATAAGCCGTGAATTTCAAAGATGATAATGATACACAAAATGTGAAATTTGTTTTATTTATTAAAATGTTTATAACCTGCCCTTTATCCAAAGATGCCAATTCCTGTCGACCCACTGCAGGCCATATACCCCTCCAAGACAGCAAGCCCAAATAGTTCTTTTTTTCTCTGAAATTTCTTCCAAAATGGAGACAGGACATTATGTTGCATCACTTTCCATTATCATTTTGAGAGGGGCTTAAGAGGAAAGTAGTAATATTTTGGAGATCATAAGTTATCCCAGGATTCTGGGATATGTCTGGTCAGGTATTTTTGTGCATTTTTGACACATTTGGAAAGTTTTCTGCCAGATTTTTGGTGCGGGAGAAATTAGCCCAGAAATCTCACCAATTTTTAATTTTAAAAGGGGGGGCATTTAAGGGCTTTGAAGGACTGGTTTGGACTTCGGAAACCACAAAAGTGAGTTCAGGATTAGATCAAAGGGCTGGTCCAGCATTTGCATAGATGACTGGTGCTTGTGAAGATGAAAGGGCATTTGGAGAGTATGCTATAATTGGCTCATGACAGCCTGAAAGCACCTTTTCTTTTTGCATGGAGAATACAAAAAGATGAAAATAACATTTTCTGAGCAGATCTGATTTGTCCAATAAAAGCTGATTTGAGTGTAGAAGGTGACCACTGATTTTACTGAAGCAGGAATGTGCACAAATATTGCAGGGCACTTATCTTGCCTATTTTCAGAAGCGTGCCTGAACCAACTTTCCCAAATTTGCATAGATGACTGGTGCTTGTGAAGATGAAAGCCTCCAAGGAGCTTCCATTAAAGAAGAATACTGCTGCATAACTGAAGACAACCAGAGATCACAAAGGAAGCGGAAAAGGGGACCAGAATCATGGACAAAAGGTACAAGCACAAAGTTCAGGAGACCAGATTTTTGTAACAAGAAAATATCTGAAATGAATTAGGAAACATTGTGTCTGCTTACTCAGCCTGGATTACTGTAAATCCTAATAATAAAACCAATGGAAGGTTGTAATTTTGTTTTGTTTTTAAGGATGCTGCTTCCTCAGTATTTATGGATTGAATTCCAAGCCCTAGTACAATGATAAAGCTGGGAGACTCAAAGTGGGAGTTCTCACATTATCCAATCTGTATAGGTATACTCCAATTAATAAAGTAGTTTACTTGCATTCTCTTTTAACAGAAAATTTGGTGGCTGCTGTTGTGTGCTTTCAAGCCATTTCCAAATTATGGCAATGCTAAGGCAAACCTCTCATAGGGTTTTGTTGGCAAGATTTGTTCAGAGGGGATTTGCCTTTGCTCTCTTCTGAGACTGAGAGAGTGTGACTTTCCCTAGGTCACCCAGTGGATTTCTATGGCCGAGCAGGGACAAACCATTGTCTCCAGCGTTGTAGTCCAATGCTCAGACCACTTCACCATTCTGGTTTATGCATAATCCCTTAACAATAATCCCTTAACACATCTTTGACTTAGGACTGCACTGTGAATCTCGACTGTTTTATCAGATGCAGTTCTATCTGTAGATTGCTCTGTTGACAGATATCTGAGCTGTTGTTGTGTGCCTTCAAGTCATTTTCCGACTTATGGCAAATTTATCACTGGGTTTTCTTCTCAACATTTGTTCAGAGTGGGTTTGTCTTTGCTTCCTTCTGAGACCGAGAGTGTGTGACTTGCCTTGCCTGTCACCCAGTGGATTTCCATAGCTAGGAAGGGATTCAAACCCTGGTCTTCAGAGTTGTAGTCCAACACTGAAACCACTAAACTACACTAGCTCTCAAAATTTGGTACCAGCAGCAGAAATAACAAAAAATAGGGATAAATTCCTTCACACAAAAACTTTTGCATGGGTTGCTGAGATATTGACACCTTTGCTTTCTGGTGGTTCAATACACACAACTTTGTTTCATGCACAAAATTATTAAAAATATTATGTATAAAATTACCTTCAGGTATATCTAAAACTTAGATGAATGTTGCATTTAGGCTTGGATCCCATCTCCAAAACTTCTCATTATGTGTGTATATATGCAAATATAGGTATTCCAAAATACATCTTGTCCCAAGCATTTTGGATAAGGGAGTCTCAACCTGTATAAGCAATTTGCTAAATGAAAAGTTTACTTCTCCGATCTGTTCCTAGCTGCCAGTACATCCTTGAACTGCCAGGCTAGATCATAAATTATCTAGTAAAGCCTATTAAACACAAAATAAACCATCTTATGCCACTGGGCAGATGTTAACATTCAACCATGATGCTGATAAGGATTCTAGAACCCAACTGTTTGGTGACAGGAGCACCAACCTTTACATCTTTCAGACCATCTTTGCTATCTTCCTCAGCCAACAACTTGATTAGTAAAAATGGCTTTCCAAACATTTTTCTGCTTAGCTCTTTTGATACTTTTTAAAAAGCTCTTATGGGACTTTACTAACCTTCTTCCTGTCTGCCAAACTTTGACAAATTGACAAGGAGTTGGTTCATTTGAAAAAGAAACAATGAGCAGGATTAGGCCTATTTTACCTTGCACGATTCAGACATACTCGCTCCTGCGAACTCAATTCCACTGCGTAAATGTTTGTCCAGAGTGATATAGTTTGGACACGATAAGGCACGTACCTGCACCTTGGGTCTGGTTGGGCATTCTGCAAATGGTTAGCCAGAGCCAACCATTTGAGAAGAGGAGGGACTTCATAACACTTAAGGTGAGTAGGTGTAATAGATACACAACTTCATGTTTGCTTAGCCTTGCCTAAAAATTGTTGACTGACAGAACAGGCCAAATACTCTCTGCTAGTGCTATTGACTTGCAGAGAAAGCATTTTCACACACGCAGTGTTTATTTTTTAAGTCAGGCCCTGTAGAGGTGGCAATCCCCTAACAATGGAATGTGTTGTACTGGTATTTCCTACAGGTGTGACTAAGCAGGAAATTGATAAGGTTGGGCATTAAAAGTACCCTTGCTTGTTAGCAGTTTAAACACTTCTCTGTCTCCAAAGTGTTACGCCTGGCTATATTTGTGCAGCCAAAAAAATAAATGAGAGGCCATGTTGACCAACTGCAATATGTGTGTGATGGAAAATATTGTTGCTAATGCTTAAGAGGATGGCTTCTTTAACCAGCTTCTGTTCGGGTCAACAGAGCTTGGAAAAGTTACTGTTGGGGACTTTTCCGACTCTTGATAAGAACGGCCATGCTAAATCAGACTAGAAGTCTATCTAATCCAGCATTCTGTTCATACTATGGTCAATCAAGTGCCTATGGAAAGCCCACAAGCCAAGAAATGGCTACAGCTGCACTCTCTGTCTTACAGTTCCCAAAAACTAATATATAGAGTCATACTACCTTTGATAACTGAGGTGTCACACAGCCTTCTTCATTGCTATCATCGTCCATGAATGTACCCAATCCCCTTTTTAAAGCCATCCAACTTGAGAGCCATCCAGGGTGACCAGACGTCCTCCTTTTCCAGAACGTGGCCAACATTTCAACCTTATGTCCAGAGGAATTTCACAATGTCCTCCATTTTGGGCATGACTAAGAAGCATGAATATATTAGTGTTTTTAGCTATTATTCAGTAAGTCCCACATTTTTCTTGAATGTCACACATTTTGCTGTGCTTTGTCCTCCTTTGCAATTAGGACATCTGGTCACTCTGGAGCCATTAAAATATATTGTTGCTGTGAGTTCCACAGTTTAATGATGAAATGTGTGAAGAAGTACTTCCTTTTATCTTTCTTGAATCTCCTACCATACTACTTCAGTAGATGACCCCAGGTTTTAGTATTATGAGCGTGAAAAGTTTGTGGGGGTATTTGAAATCATGGCAATAGTGCTATGATCGTATAGCAATAGCAAGTACATTTCTATACGGCTTATCAGTGAACTAGCACTCCCTAAGTGGTTTACAATGTGTAAGCCAATTGACCCCAACAAGCTGGGTACTCATTTTACCAACCTAGATGTAAGGCTGAGTAGACCTTGGAGCCCCCTAGGATCAAACTCACAACCTTGTGGCTACAGTACTGTGCCACCAGGGCTCCTTCATAAATACCTATATCAATGAGTTACAAATTTATAAGTCTAGCTTACACATTCATAACTGCTCAAAAGGATGCCAGCAAGTTTCTGAGGTCCCAGAATTGGAATACCATGGCACTATTATCCCAAAATACTGATGCTTTTGTTTTCTATTGTTCTCTTTACAGCTCACAAAAAATCAGTAAGAAGGAGACGAAATGACAAAGCAACTCAGGCCCCAGCCGATGTACACAAAGCCACAAAGGAAATGCCAAACCACAGCCCTGCTTTCCAACACAAAGACAATGAAGAAACATAGCTTGTATTGGACTTCTGCACCTGAAACTGTTGTCAGTATATTCCTGGCTTAGCCACAAAATGACTCCAAACTTTCTCACTCGTAGTAACACAGATCAACAACCTTCTCTATCTCACAGAATTATCAGGCAGCATTGTTTTAAACCTTGGCTCATGAATGAATTCATGATGACTAGTCACTTGCTCGTGCAAGGGCTTTAAGAAATTCTTGAGTTCTCTCAAAATATGGGCAATGAGAATAGAATGGTTCACTGGCTTCCTCTACTCAACCACTCTCATTCTTCTTGTTCTGTGACAGGTCCTGCCAGCTCAGTGGCATCTTAATAGCAATTTTGACTGAATATTTTATTGTGAACATACAAATTGATACAAAGAGCTAGTGGCACAGAACCTCATCATGATCTAAATCAGGGGTAGGCAACCTGTCCCCCTTAAGGGCCGAGGGACTTCAGCTCCCAGAAGCCTCAGCCATGTTGGCCAATAGTCCTATGTTGGCCAATAGCTCCTGGGATTCTGGGAGCTGAAGTCCCTTGGCCCTTAAGGGGGACAGGTTGCCTACCCCTGATCTAAATGGAAGATAATGCTCTCGATGGCTTCCAGTCATTAGGGCTATTACTGATGATGGAGGCCTTAGAGTACTAAGACCAGTTACTGGGAAACATAAGTTGGAGTGTTCTTTTGTGCTCATATTCTCCCTATAGTCTTCGCAAAGGTATTTGGTGACCAATTATTTCATTAAGTAACCAGGCACACCTGTTGCATGAAGAAGGTCCCAGGTTCAATCCTTGTCATCTGTCCACCCCAAAAGGACCAAGTTACAGATGATCATGGCAAAGACTTTTTTCTGCCTGAGCCCCTGGGAAACTTCAGCTAATCAAAGTAAACAATACTAGACTAGGTGGATAAAGCGACCTGAACTCCAGAAACCTAAAATGTTATCCAGAATTCAAAATTTATACATACAAGATATATGGTGGCTGAGAGAGGGGGGTAATTCTATATAGTGAGGCCAGAGGGAAATGAAATGTATGCAGAAAATACTGCCAGTTATAATAATTATTATCTGACATAACTGCATGCATCTGATGAAGCAGACTAGAGATTAACAGTGCAGTCCTGAATCAACGATGTATCTGAGGTTATGCAGAAATCTCAGACACTTGAAAACAGAGCATTCTGCAGGCAGAACTGCTCAGCTTGTTTAGCTCTGCATGCAGAAGAGTTAAATTTAAAAATCAGCAGAGAAGGGATGGGGCAAGGAAGGAGCTGAGTTATACTAGATCTCAAACTTTCTCAAGCATAGAGACACAACAGCCACAAGGGCAGCATAAAGTAAGACCAGACAGAGAGTGGTCCTGCAAAATTTCTGTCATCCCTAGGCTGGAAAATGTTTGGATTCAGTGCAACATCATCTGGACTAGAGTCAGTTCAGCTAACCCTTGGCCTCTTTGTCATTTAGGATTGTGATCTAATATGGTTACCCCTCTGGAAACAGTTTTTTTGATGTTGAAAATAATTGTGGGAAAGTTATTTGAACACTATATAGTTGGTGAAACCTACTAAAGGGGTAGAAATGAGTAGTACCCAAGTACACCTGAAGTGACTTACCCATATCCACTCACTTTGAGATCAATAAATAAAAAAGGCATTGTAGGTTAAAAATTTGATATGCTATGATGCAAAGGATGTATATGTACTGCCAAGTACCTAGTTGATGTCTGTGTGTGTGTAAGAACCATAGCTCTAAAAGCATAAAAACTAAAGCTCTGAAATTTGACATGCATAATAAGGGGATCCTAGAAGTAGGCACCAAGAGGCTATGTAGTTTCTTATAAGCTTATCGCACGGCACTTCAAAGAACGGGAACAGAACACAAGGGAATGAAATGGAGCAAAAACACATTTTACTGCACAGGAGAACGCCACCAATGCCTCCGGGAGTCCCCAGTCCATTCCCCAGCCGTTCCTGGCATGGCTAGGGAACAGATCAGGGACTTCCGGCGACATCAGTGGCATTCTCCTGTGCAGTAAAATGCATTTTTGCTCTATTCCGTTCCCTTGCATTCCATTCCCGTTCCTTAAGTGCCATGCAATAAGCTTATTAAACATGGCCATTCACTTTGTCTGTGTGTTTCAAGGCTGCTGTACCACATTAAGTCACTAGGTGGCAGACTTTTCTAATCAACTGATAGGTTTACATTTGATATAATCTCTTTCACGCTACACTTTGATACTGAGATTTGTAGTTTCATGAGGTATTTAGAATGCTCTGCAGTGCACTCTCATGCTTCATCAAACTACAAATCCCAGGATTTCCTTGGATGCAATCATTGCAGGTAAGTTGGTATCAAAGTGCTATTGTGTTGTGTGGAAGAGACCATAACTGGAAGCTGTTGGGGGCACTCCAACAGATAGTGTTAAAGAGCTGTTCCCCCTG